TGAGGCGGAAGGATGGCTGGAGCCCAGCAGGTCGAGGCTGCGGTGGCCGGGAGCGGCTACTGCACTCCAGTCTGGGCAACAAAGTGAGACTCCAACCCCCTCCAAAAAAAAATTTCCTTTGTTTTTGTCTCTTACACCTATAATGCGATTTTAAATTTCTGATTCTACTGGGATCTCATTTTTTAGTAATGAATTCACGTCTTCTGCCCCTTGGAATTATAGCTCAGTTTCAAGACTGTTATGAATTAACATCTTCCTAAATTTGTATCAAGAAAAACTGTTCCTTCAGGCATGGTGGTGCGCACCAATAAATTCAAATCCAGCCTAGGCAACATAAGGAGATCCTGTCTCTAAAAAAGAAAAGAAAAAAGCCAGGCTCGGTGGCTCAGCCTGTAATCGCGCGCCTTTGGAAGGCTGAGGTGAGTGGATTGCCTGAGTCCGCAAGTTCGAGACCCGCCTGGGCAGGGAGACCTCATCTCTGCAATAAATTAAAAAATCAGCCGGGGCATGGTAGCGCGTGCCTGTAATTCCGGCTACTCGGAAGGCTGAGGTGGCAGGATCACCGGAGCCCAGCAGGTCGAGGCTGCGGTGGCCGGGAGCGGCCACTGCACTCCAGTCTGGGCGACAGAGTGAGATTCCAACTCAAAAAAACCCCAAAAAACAAAACAACTGATGAAGAGGTCGTTTCTGTCTTCAAAAGGCCACAGGTCTGGAGGGATGAGAGAAATAAGTCAGAAATTAAGGTGGAACAGGATAAACACTGCCTTCAGTAGAGGTAGAAAGCACTGTGTATACACAGAGGAGGTGAGCAAATGGCACCCAAAGAAGGAACGCTTTGGCTGGGTTTTGTAGGAAGTATTAGAGGACAAAAGGGGAAGAGAATTCCAGGCCGGCTGAGAGAGCAGCCTGCTCGTAGACTGGAGGAGTGGGCAGCCTGGTGCATGCCTGCAGGCTACAGGAGGGGGCATCTGAGGAGAGGGGAGAGGGGAGGGGCTGAAGAAGTTGGCTGAGCTAGGTCACACAGGACCCCAGGGCAGAGGCTCCAAGGGTGAGAAGAGCAACCCTCATCCTGAACGCTCCAGGAGCCACTGAAGGCTATTATCAAGTGACAGGATGATCTACTTTGCATGACAGAGGGCCTGAAGCAGAAGTTCTACTGGGAAGAGCACGACTGCAGCCAGACAGACCAGGTAGGGGACTGCCTCTGTGGCCCAGGAGAGAGGTGCTGGTGCCGTGGACCAAGGCAATGGCAGCCAGAGGAGGGCAAGGGGGCCGATCCCATCCGCGGGGCTTCCGAAGGTCGTACGTTAGTGCCAACAGCTGGCTGTGCCTCTTTCTCTGCACTCTCAGGTCAGCAGTGACACACTGGGTGAGAGTGGAAGAGACGCAGGAGTGTATTATTTACTTTTGCTCCTCACCCCCCCCCCACTGTAAAGCCTCAAATGACTCTGAGAATAAAAATGACTCTGTTTTACAGAAAAACTGTGAAATATGCCGATTTTGAGTAGCTGGCTGGACAGCCAGAAGACCAGCCCAGTATGTGGGGACAAGTATTCCTGTCCCAGCATGGAAGTCCTGTCTGCTTTTCCATGTGTTTCTCATCACAGGCAGAGATTCTCAAAGGGGCTGGGGAAGGGAGGCAGAAAGCATTGTGCCCCCCAGAGAACATTTGGCAATACTGGGGACACTTTTGGTTGTAACGCCTTAGGTAGGGGGTGCTACTGGCATCACACAGGATGCTGCTAAATTTTCTATAATGCACAGGACATACCCTCCAAAATATTTATAGTGTTGAGGCTGAGAAGCCCTGTACTAGATGATTAAATGAGTATAAACTGAAGTGACAAGGTTCTGGAAATCTCTCCCCTAGGAAGGACAGAGGGCCCCTTGAGTCATCAGAGAAAAGCTGGAAAAATGTATGTAAGGGAGACCCCTGGGTGAGGGAAATGTTATAGGGGCGTCTCAGCTCTACAAATGAGGCTTCCTTCATATGGGAAAAGGAACTTCATAGGAGACCCACAGTGGGTGCACCCCAGGTGTCTATGACCCCCACAAAGGAGCCCTGAAGTCAGAGGCCCCAGAAATCAGCCCTGACAGCTAATGCTTAGGACTGGCATTAGGGGTAGGGGCAGGAGGGCCCTGTTTGAATCATTCCCAAGGTTTAAGCATATTCCCTGCTGAGAATCAAGGCCATGGTGGGCCCTTGTTACTGCCTGAGAAGGTGAATAATCTCCCAGCTGCTTTCACAAACATCTGACCAAGCTCAATTCCAGCTGATAATCATGTCAAAGGAAGAAGGAGAATGGGCAATGATTTCCAGGGGCCAGTGTGCTGAGCTTTCGGGTGGGTGGCGCCTCTGTCCTTTCTCTCATCTTCTCGGGCTGCTTCTAGGTTCTCAATATATGTGTCCCCCTAGGATTCAGATGTTAAAATGTAACCCCCAAGGTTATGGTATTAGGAGGTGGGGCTTTGTGAGGTGATTAGGTCATGATGGCAGAACTCTCATGAGTGAGATTAGTGCCCTTGTAAAAGAGGTCGGAGCCGGGCTCGGTGGCTCAGCCTGTAATCCCGCGCCTTTGGGAGGCTGAGGTGAGTGGATTGCCTGAGCCTGCGGGTTCGAGACCC